GTCCGCGTCCGCCACTCTGGGCCGGGCACCCCCCGACCCCATCCCTTCCCACCCCTGACCCCCAGCTCTGAGCCCAGCCCCTCTGAGCCAGCCACCCCCTGAACTCTAGGTCTGAGCCCAGCCCCTCTGAGCTGGGCACCCCACGGCCCCTAGCTCCACGCCCAGCCCCTCGAGCCCGGGCACCCCCCCAACCCAGAGCCCAGCTCCCCACCCAGTCCTGGGCAACAGTAGCGCCACCTCCAGGCAGCGACAGCCCATTGGCACCATCACCATCACCCAGCGACAGCCCATTATGTAATTGCAAATGTATACATACCATTAAATCATTTAATGTTTTTAAATAATGTATTTCATGTATTTTCAAATTATTACAAATTAATTTTTGAATGTATTTCACTGGTTATTTTTTACATTTTCAAATACATGTTACTATAGTATTGCAACTTTTTTTTATGGAAGGGAGCCCCGAAAGTGCTTTGCCCCAGGCCCCCTGAATCCTCTGGGTGGCCCTGCTAGGTGAGCTCTAACTTTAAGTTGTTAGTTTAATAGGGAATAAAATGGGTACCCCATGTAGATTAATTAATGTCTCTAATTGCTGATACATTCCAGGTGTTTTCAGTAGAAGCACGTATTCCTACATATTGAGTTTATTTCAATGAACATCAGTGTTTTTTGTTCTTTGAGGTAAAAAATTATTTTATCTTAGTAAACATTTGCCTATTGAGTCAATGACCCTTGTTTTTCACCCCAACAGAAGTTAACATCTGCTTATAAATTCTTTACACGTCACAGATGTTCTGTCCCTGGCACCTCACGATATTAAGGCTGGCTAGCGCAGTTCCACACTGACCCTAGAAGAGCGCATCCAGTCCTAGAAATGCCATCTAAATATTAAACACACTTCTGACGGTTAAGCACGTGCTAAAACTACTTGAAAGCTACTGTACATCTTTCCATGGGACTGACACATTGCTAGGCTCACACGTGACATCACTTTTCAACAAGCTGTTCCCCCCATCCTTAGACTCTGAAAGGTCAATTTTAAAATTCCCGGCTGGCAAGAGTTTCGTAAGGGTCACATTCCATCCTTTGAATGCATGCACAGAGCTCCTAGTGAGTTCAATAGGTATTGTACTCATGCATCTAAGGGCAGAATTTGCTTCATAGACTGTTAGGCTGAGCAATATGGGTGCAGTTTTCCTTTAAAAAAACAGGTGCGTACACTGGAGTTCTGTGATTCTATGGTAGGAACTAAGTTGTGTAATCTGCAAATGGATAAAATTCTCACAACCTTCTTATGTGCAATATATTGCTTTCTCAAAGATATATGTAGTGCTGGTCACACTAGTGATTAGAGCAGGGGGCTAGGATTAGGATTGCTTTATTTCAGGCCCAGATACACCACACAGTGGCTTGCTATATGACTTTGGATAGTCACTTCATCAAGTCGTGCCTCAATTTCCCCATCTTGAATAGAGAGAATAATACCATTCAGTGGTGGTGTGAAGTTTAATTAATTAAATGGTATAAAATGCTTTGAGATCATCAGTTTTATCTGCACATTTTTTACTTGATACTGTATCATTGATGCTGTATGCTTCTTTTTTCTTTTTTAACAGATTCAATTGTCATAGCCTTTTGGGTTGGTATTGCTGCATTTGTGGTGTTTCTGTTCCTTATATTGCTCTACATGTCCCGATCTGGGTCTACACCAGTCAAGTAAGTAAGGCTGTTATACTGCAGATGAGGTACAAACTGATTTGTTTAACTCACATTATAATCAGCATGTAACACTTTTCACAGTTTCAGGGTAACTGCACTTGTATCCCACCTCCATGGTCCACTCCAGGGGTGCCCAATCAGATCTCAGGTTTCCAGCTGTCACTTGTCTCTGAGCAGGGACCCTGGTCCCACTTCCTTCAGACCTGGATGTAAAGACTGTGCAGTTCCCTGACATACTCTCTGGCGTCCTCAGCAAGTCAGTCTACCTACATGCCAGCACCTGTTCTGTGCTTTCTCTCTGAGAACAATGCCCAGTGTGTACCAGCAGTTACAAGTACCATACAGCTCTTCCAAAGCAAAGTTCATTTATTCACACGGCAAAACCACCACACATATAAAAAACAACACAAGTTCCTACATGCTTACTAAACACACCAGAAATCACCCAGCTTCCACATGGTGAGTCTGGTAGGCCAACATCCCTTCCAACCCTCAGCAAGGTTTGAGGTCTGCTTAGGACCAAAGGTCCTGTCCATTTGCTGAATCAGAAGGAAGACCATGATTCCGTTTAACCTGTGGTAACCCTCCACCATAGAGCAGAACACTGTCATACTAAACCATTCATAAATTTAATCCGATGGTCCCCAAAGATACTGCATGGGTTGCAATATCTGTCACAACCCTGACTCACCTTGAAATGACGGAATGACTACATTCTTAATTATATATAGCAGTGCATAAAGCATGACATGTTGTTTTTATTAGCTGGCCTATGGTTGTCAGCCCAATGTTATTCAATATTTTTATCAATCGTCTGAAAGAAAATATAAAAGCACTATCGACAAAGTTTGCAGATGAGACAAAGATAGGGAAATACTTAAGAGAATAGGCCACTTGTTCTGAGCCATTTGGATTGCTTGATGAGCTGTTGCTATCGTATAATTTGCATTTTAATAAAGCGAAATGCAAAGTCATATATCATGCAAACAAAGAATGAAGGTCATATGTACAGGATGGAGGACTATATCCTGAAAAACAGCGTCTGAGGAGTTAGGAGTCATGGTGAACAAACAACTATCATGAGTTCCCAGTGTGATGCTGTAGTTAAATGTTTGTGACAACTGAATGGATAAACAGGAGAATATTGAGTAGGAATATGAAGGTGATATTACCTCTGCATATAGCATTGTTTAGACCACTACTAGAATACTGTGCCAGTTTTAGAGTAAACACTTTAAAAAGGACATTGGAAAATTAGAGAAGGTTCAGAAAAGAGGTATAGGAATGATTTCAGGTCTGGAAAACATGTCTTCCTGGGAGAAATTTATGAAACTCAATCAATTTAATTTATCAAATAGAAGGTTAAGAGGTGACTTGATGATTTATAAGCACATATACAGTGAATAGATTTCTGCTAGATTAAGAAGCCCTCTTGCATCAGTCAAAGACATACCAAAATCTAACAGCTGGAAGGTGAAGCTAGACATGCAAACTGGAAATGGCACACATATTTTTAAGTGAGGATAATTAATCACTGGAACAATTTACCAAGGGATGTGGTAAATTCCTCATCACTTGTTCTAATTCACCTGCAAGTTATTGGGCTCAATCCTTGAAAATGGGTGAAATTGTATGGCCTGTGTTATGCAGGAGGTCAGATTAGATAATTATAGTAGTCTTCCTTCTGGCTTTAAATATATGAATGGGCCAGATCTTCAGCTGGTTTAAATCACGACAGCTGTACTGAAATCCATGGAGCTCTGTTAATGCACAATGGCTTAAATTCTGGCCCAATGTCTTTTGTTTTAGGGAAGATGTCTTCCACATCCTAGCACAGACCTAAAACTGCCTCCATTTCCCTTGCTTTAATCTCCCTCCCCAACCTCACAACCTACATCTCAGCTACTATCCTACACGCTGAGCAGGCCTAGAAAGGACTCCCTCTTGAGGCAGTCAAAGATGGTCCATAATCAGTTGGAGGGGTTGCTGTGGAATTATTTGAAGCACTTGCCCACCATAACCTTTGTTGGCCAGAAGCTGGGAATGGGTGACAGGGGATGGATCACTTGATGATTACCTGTTCTGTTCATTCCCTCAGGGGCACCTGGCATTGACCACTGTCGGAAGACAGGATACTGGGCTAGATGGACCTTTGAGCTGACCCAGTATGGCTGTTCTTATGCTCTTATAACTGGAGCTGAGTATGTTGCCTCTGTAGTATTCACAGACCTGGGCAGCCTGGATGTGAAAGGCTGCATTTCAAATTGGGTTTTCTTGCAAAAGAGTGTAGAAAACTAAACACTAAATCAACTCATTAGTAGCCCCTAATGCTCAAAGGCCTGATTTTATCACCCTTACTCACTTTGGGTAATTGCTTATGTATGAGATGTCCCATTTCAAAGGGACTACTTGCAGAACAAGGTACTACTTGGTGTGAGAGGTAGAGTCAGGTTTTGAGTTAGTGACACAGCAGAACATAACAGGTTCCTCAGTCTCATGAGTCTGTGTGACATACCAGGATACACTGAGAGAGATCACAAATTGACTCATAATGTTAGCATTATGCAGTTCATCATTTGAGTCATGTAAAGCTAGACTTGACAAAGTAGGGGACAACTCTCCAGGAAAAGTAGGTGGATTAAGGTGAAGCCATTCATTTCGATCTCTAACCTCTGTGACTGTGACATAGACTAGAAGAAAGCAATGCCCATTGACACATAGCACTGATTTGTTTAGTGGGTTCATAGACCTAACATTACTGGAGATTTTGAACTTTGCCTAAGTAGGGTTTTTGTTTGATGCAGTCCACATAATAGTTTACTTTGCTCAAGGAAACCAGCAGCAAGCAAACAACTTTGTGCAAACATGGATGAATTTGGAAGGCTGTGCCCACTGCTTTTCATAAACTGATCAGGAGGCAAAAAATTCAGCCCAGCAATTAGGCAGAGAGAGGTTCAAGATTAGGTCACAAACAAGCAGAGACAAACAATAGTATAACATAGTAGTAAAAGGGAGTAATAATACAGTCGAATGTATCAGCACCCTAAGGCCTTTGGGACATTAACAAAAGGTAACAACAATACAAAAAGGCAGCTTTCCCAAAGAAACCGCAAAGCAGGAGGCAAACTAATTTCCAGATAAGACATAAATAATACAAGAAACACATCCAACATAAAATTACATGGTTACAGAGGCAAATTCCCTTTAATTTACTGTGCTTAAAGAACTGGCAGGAGAAATTGTATACAAGTAATATTCTCTCAGGAAAGAGAGATTCCTCATTGTAAACAGAGTACTTGCAAGACCTACACAGAAAAGACTAAACATTAGGTGAGCTTTTATACTGTGCCATTGAGAAAGAACACGTAGGACATGTATTGTGCAGTATTACAATATTGCCATATTAATCTCTAGCGTAACTGGTATTTCCGATGTAATTCATTGAAAGTGCTATGGTAACCAATTAAACCTTAGGGGCATTTTATACAAACCATAGGTGTCAATAACTGAAAGGAACACTGGATGATTGATTGTTTATTTAGAGTTTGAAGTTCATCTTGTGTATTGTTTTTCTAGATGTTAGAACACACCGTAAGAAATTTTAGGAATAGGAGAGGATATCCAGCCCAACACACCTGCCCTTTTTTGATTTACGTTCTACCTGTTTTCATGCTGGTTCACCATATGCTCCAGTTCTTTCCAACTATCACAAGAGTTGGTAACAATAAGGACAAAGATCCTCCTTCTGCCACTGCTAGACCGTTAGGGTAAGGTTAAAAAAACATCCACTAACCAGGGGAAAAGGCAGCAGAAAACATTCTTTAGGGCCCGAGTCCAGCAATTGGATGGGTGTGGCACACCTCTTTACCTGACTGGGGCTCTGTTGAAGTCAACAGATATCCCCACATAGGTGTAGGGTTTGCCTGCAGGCAGTCAGTTGCAAGATCAGGGCCTAAAGCTTCTAATTAATACAGAAGTGTTCTCTCTCTGTGAGCAATAGCAGATATCCAGGGCCTTGCAGGCTGGTTTCCCAGTGGAGATGAAATCAGTGATATGGCACCTCGGTATGTGTTAAGAGTCACTGGTTTTATTTGCACATATACATCAATCCTGGAACAGAGGTGGCCAGACAGTTTTCAGGGCAATCCCTTCTTTCAGGAATCTCAGCCCAACACCAAAGCCAAGTTCCCAGGGGGCAACCCTGCCTCAAGAATTTACTCTAAGGAAATTTACTCTAAGGAAATTCTTGTGTTACTTGCACAGCTCCCTCTACCCAGAACAAAAGTTAACAGCAACACAGCATGTCTTCCCAAGACCAAACGTTTACAGCATGTGTGCAGTCTGACTTCAGTTGGACTCAGCAGATGCAGCAGCAGGCCCTTGGCTGTCAGTTTCAGGATCACAGCCTGCAAAGACTTTTGAAAACTTTTGTCAGTAATAATATAAAGGTTTTCCCCAAAATCTACGAAGATAAAAATACAGCTCTTGCTTCCCCTTCTTGCTCTAAACCAATGCATTTTCCTTCCCTGGTATTTCAAGATATTGTTAAAACTTATTAGTGTTGTAATCGGTGCTTTGGACTTTGCAACAAGGTATAGAGGGTAGAAAGGAAGGGTTTGGACTTCCTAAGGAAGTGTACTAAGTTTCGAGGCCTAATAAGGATAGAATACTTGGTTTCTAATATTTTCAATCCTTTCCTCCCCATCCTTCAGAACAAGACAGCAATGGTAACTGAAACATGAATATTCTTCTGGGTAGAAACATACTCTGAATCCAGATCCCTTTCCTTAATGTTTTCTGTTTTATTTATTCACAGGGATGGCAGGCTGAGAAAAATGTTTTTGTGGAATTATGCATAATATATCCAGTAACGCTGAAATCACATACCACCCAGCCATACCAGCTCAGGGTTTCATAGAGTTTGTGGCCAGAAGGGACTATTAGATAATCTAGTCTGACTTCCTGTATATTACAGGCCATTGCTAAGGCTATGTTTTAGTCACAGGTATTTTTAGTAAAAGTCATGGACAGGTCACAGGCAGTAAACAAAAATTCATGGCCAGTGACCAGTCCATGACTTGTACTATATACCCGTGACCAAATCTTGGGGTGGCCCGGTGTTCTGTGGGGAGCAGCCCGGGGGCGCCATGGGTGCTCTTGGGGGAGCAGCGGGGGTGCAGCAGGTGGCCCAGGACCCTGATGTTGCTGGGGGGGCGGGGGTTGGTGGGACTGGCAGGCTCCCTACCTGGCTCCTCGCAGCTCCACCCTAGGCAGAGGTGCGGCCAGAGGGCTCTGTGCGCTGCCTCCACCCCAAGAGCCGGCTCTGCAGCTGAGAACTGCAGCCAATGGGAGGTGCAGGGGAGGCACCTGTCGGTGGAGGCAATACACGGAGCTGTCTGCTAGGAGCTGAGGGAGGGACATGTTGCCGCTTCCAGGGAGCCCCCCAAGGTAAGCGCCGCCCAGCACCCTCACCCCCTCCCACACCCAAATGCCTGCTGCTGCTGTGGGGGAGGGAAGCTGATGCGGCTGGCCCGGGGGTTGCCTGAGCTGCTCAGGCAGCCCCCGGGCCAGCCACAGTGACCACTACAGAAGTCATGGAGGTCACAGAAAGTCACAGAATCCATGACCTCCATGACAAACTCGCAGCCATAGGCATTACATCTCATCCAGCTAGCCCTGTACTGAGTCCAATAAGATTTGTTTGACTAAAGCATAATTAATATTTGACTCAAAGTATATCTTCTGGAAAGGCATTAGTCTTGATTTGAAGACATCAAAAGAAGGAAAATCTATCACTTCCCTTGGTAGTTTGTTCCAATGGGTGATCACCCTCACTGTTAAGAATTTATGTCTAATTTCTAATTTGAATTTGTCTGGCTTCAGCTTCCAGCCAGCTTCTTGTTATGCCTTTCTTTGCTAGATTAAAACATCCTTTAGTAGCTGGTATTTTCTCCCTGTAAAGGTATTTAAGTCACCTCTCAATCTTCATGTTGATAAGCAGATGGAGCTGATATTCTTTAAGTCTCTCACTGCAAAGCATTTTTCCCAGCATTTGAATAATTTTTTCTGTCTCTTTTTTGCACCCTTTCCAATTTTTCAACATTCTTTTACATAAATAAATTAATGGAGACATCCTATCTCCTAGAACTGGACGGGACCTTGAAGGTCATCAAGTCCAGCCCCCTGCCTTCACTAGCAGGACCAAGTACTGATTTTGCCGCAGATCCCTAAGTGGCCCCCTCAAGGATTGAATTCACAACCCTGGGTTTAGCAGGCCAATGCTCAAACCACTGAGCTATCCCTCCCCCAAATGTGGATACCGGAATGGTATGCACTATTCCAGTATCAGCCTTGCCAATGCCAAATACAGAACTAAAATCACACACACTCTCTCTCTCTCCTATTCACTATCCCCCATTTATGCACCTAAAGATCACATTAGCCCTTTTTGCCACAGCATCACAATGGGAGCTTGTGTTGAGTTACTTTCCCACTATGACCCCTAAACCCTTTTCAGAGGCACTGCTTTAGTCTCCCGTTCTGTAAGTGTAGTCTGCAGTCTTTGTTCCTAAGATGGATAACTTTGCATTTAGTTGTATTAAAAAAGCATTTTGTTTGAATGGACCCACTTTACTAAATTACCAGATTGCGCTGTCTGACTGCCCTGTCCTCATGATTTACCATTCCTCCACTCTTTGTGTCATCCACAGATTTTACCAGCAGTGGTTTTATATTTACTTCCAGATCATTGATGAAAATGTTTAACAGAGGCCCCGTACCTTTCTCTGTGGAACCCCATTCCATGAAGATCCCCCATTGACAACTACTTTTTGAGATCTAGCAATTAGCCAGATTTTAATCCATTTAATGTGTGCTTTGTTGTTATTGTCTAATGCTAATTTTTTAATCAAACTGTTGTGTGGTAATAAATCAAAGTATATTACATCTGCAGTTATCTTTATCGACCAAATTTATAATCTCATGAAATAATGAAATCAAGTTTGTTCCTTTTTGAATACTAGCAGATTAGCATTCTTCCAGTCCTCTGGAATTTCCCCAATATTCCAAGATTTATTTAACATCAGCAAGCCGTAGTTCTCTTCAGCCAACTCTTTTAGGACTCTTGGGTGCAAGTTATCTAGGACTGCTGATTTCAAAATGTTTATCCCTACTAGATGTTGTTTAACATCCTCCTTAGTTACTAATGGATTGGAAAATACTTCATCAACCTCATGTGATATGAGTACATCATCCTGCTTCTTTCCAAATACAGAAGTATTTATTGAAAACTTCTGCCTTTTCTGCATCATCATCAACAATTGCACTATATTTACCCAGTAATGGGCCTATGCCATTGCTCGAATTTCTTTTGTTCTTAACAGTTGTTCTTAACTCATGTTCCTAGCTCTGACTGCCATGGATTTTTCCCTGCTGTCTTTAACAACTTCTTGTTTTTTTACACTTCATAACTTTTAATTTACATTGATTGATATCAATTTTCCCTTTTTACATGTGTTATATGTTCTTTTTTTATTTCTTACTGCTGCCTTTGCTTTGCCACTGAACTCGGAGAAGCTTTTAGCCAAAGTCATCCTCTTGATTGTGGAATCATTTCTGGTCATCTAATAAACTCTTCTTAAAGAACTCCCTGTCTAATTTTGCTCATAATTTTCCTCCATTTTGGGAAATTAGCCCTTTTGAAGCACCAAGAGCATAGATTAGTGGTTGGGACTGTCCTCTGTGCACCCATATTGAATGTAATCAGGTCATGATCGCTAGTGCCTAGACAACCAACTAACTTCCAGTCCAGTAATTAATTCATCTTTATCCATCATAATGAGGTCCAAAACAGTTATCTCATGTTGGATGCAATACCTTTTGTGTCAGAATATAATCATCTATAATGTTTATAAACTCTAATTATATTTATATCAGATCTGCAGCATGTCTCTAACACCACATTTTTTTCTTTCCACACATTACAGACAAGTGCTTGCAGGTAACCGGATAGAACATCTGGAAGGAAGTAGCTCCAATGTTGAGCGGCTGCATTGTGTTGATCTCAGCAGTCCAGACTCAGACTTGATCGCTACTGAACCATGTAATTCTCTTTCAGATGAAATTGGCATTCATGGAAGCATCTCGGCTTGAGTGAGAACTGGAAACGGATTCCTTAAAAACCAATCATAGTGATTATGACAGTGGGAAGATACAAGAATACCCTTGATACCTTTTAGTAGCTGTATAAAATTAAACTAAATTAGCCCTGAAAAAGAGAACAAAAATAATTTTAAAAACTAAGACTAAAATTCAAAATATTCAAACCTAGATGCCTAATGATTTAGGCTTCTTAAGCCATTTAGGCACCTAGCTAGACTTGCTGTTTATTAGAGGTGTTGAATAATCCCAGATCTTGCAAATTACTAATGTACTAGATGTAAGAACAACTTAAAAAAATAATCAGGGACAGATTCTGCTCTCAGTTACATGGCTGTAAATCTGAAGCAACTCTTCTGTTGTCAAGTATATTACTCTGATTTACGCCAGTGTGGCTGTGAGCAGGGGCTGTTCCTGCAAGTAGAGGTAGATAAAAGTGGTTCTCAACCTTTCCAGACTACTGTACACCTTTCAGGAGTCTGATTTGTCTTGTGTACCCTAAGTTTTACCTCACTTAAAAACTACTTGCTTACAAAAATCAGACATAAATATAAAAAAGTGTCACAACACTCCATTACTGAAAAATTGCTTACTTTCTCATTTTTACCATATAAAATACATGTATGAAATTTCAGTTTGTACTGACTTCACTAGTGCTTTTCATATAGACTGTTGTAAAATGAGGCAAATGTTTAGATGAGTTGATGTACCCCCTGGAAGACCTCTGCCTGGGGTTTGCATACCCGTGGTTGAGAACCACTGGTATAGAATACCAAAGTAGATTCCAGTCCTGCAAACTGTTACGAATTGAGCTTGCCTTTATGCACTAGATATCATCTTCAGCTGAGCTGTTCATGTGCATGGAGATAAGATGTGTAAATCTTTGCAGGATCAAAGGTTTTATTAATTTGAAGAGAACCCTTTGATTGTATTAGATTTAAATATTTTTCCTGCAATACTTATTCCTTATGAGCTCCATCATGACCATAGTCATCAATCTTATTTCCTCAGGTGCCTGTCCTCAGCTCATCTTCTCATTGCCAACCTCATCTTAGCATATTGCATTATCTTCGGGCCACTTTGCTGAGGACAATTTTAGAGCAATGTCAAATTTAAAAGCCTTGTGACTGCAGAGCAGAGAATTGCACCTGGCTCCACCGGCTTCAAATTCAGATATTTTTTAAAGTATAACAATGTGTTTTATTTACTTTAATATTTAAAAATATCTGGTTACTTTAAAAAAAGTTTACCTGCTTAGTTTAGCCAAATGGTTAAAAGCAGCATTTCTTACCATAAACAAACTGAAGTGTATTTGTAAATAAAGCTGGCAAGTGACACTAATCATGACCCAGTAGCCACAGGTTTGCCCTCTGAAAGATTATATAAACCAATGTCTAGTCTGCTTAATACCAAAGTAATGACCAGAAAGAAAATGTTAACACTGAAACTCTGCCATTATTTGATTGCTACCACTGGTCTTAAAGTCAGATGAAAACTTGGCAGTCTTTTACTTCTGACAGTTTTATCATCAGCGCAGCAACTTGCAGTGTTGCCAACTCTTGGGATTTCTTCACAACTAATGTGATTTTGGTCAGGGCTGGAGCCAGTCTGGTGATGAAATGAGACGCTCCAACCCTCTGTCTGGAGGAAAAGTAAAACCCCCTCCAACTTTCTTACTGCCTGGGGAAAAGCAGCCAATCAGAGCTGCTGCAGAAGATAGTTATAGCTTTCACGCCTCCTCCTCTCAGGAGCAGGGCTGGTTCCAGCTTTTCTGCCGCTCCAAGCGGCAAAAAAAAAAAGGACGAGTGGTGGCACTTTGGCTCAGCTAAATTGCACCGCTTCTTTGGCAGTAGGTCCTCCCCTCTTCCTCTTCGGCGGCAATTCGGCAGCAGCTCAAAGAGGAAGAGAGGGAATGAGGGACCCGCTGCCGAATTGCCGAAGACCTGGACGTGCCGCCCCGATACCGGACGGAGTGCCACCTCTTTTAATTGGCCGCCCCAAGCACCTGCTTCCTATGCTGGTGCCTGGAGCCGGCCCTGCTCAGGAGCCAGATAGGTTCTTGGGTCAAGTAGGAGTGAGAGAGAGCAGCTGACACCATTCTTACAAGACAGAATTAGGGAGGAGGGACCAAAAAGAGACCTGCAGCTTAGGGTAACTCCATTTCCTCTTTCCTCCTGTGAACAATGGATCAGTCTGGTCTCGGCTCCATCCCTGCAACACCAGGCCTGGGAAGGAAAAGGTGGGTGAAGACCACTGGAGCTGCCCCACCCCCAGGCCTAGGAAGGGGGAGGAGGAAGGGCCTGGGAGAGAGGGGTGAAGAACTCCTAACGCTGCAGGATGAGCAGAGGCGAGGCTGACAAGGACAAGATGATGTGGGGGCTAGGGAGTAGTACTGATGTGAGGGTTGCATAATTAATTGCTGGGCTGAGTGGGACACAGAATTAATTAATTAGAAGTGTGGGGTTTGGAGAGAAGCTGGAAGCTCCGTACCATCAGGCAGGTCACCGAATCACCATACTCTACAAATCTGGGAACTGGCAATACTAATTGTCTCACAGACACTAAGGATGGACAAGGGCAGTTCAAAAATCAGAGACCGAACAGACAACATAACCTTTAAAAAAAATCTCATGTCTCATGATTTAATGTTGGGGGTTGGCGATACTGCAAATAGTATTGTAGAATATTTTTTAAAGCAAGTCTATCTACCAGCAATAGGCTCAGAAACACCAGGGGTTAAAGTGGGTTGAGTCAGACTGAGTCATGGACCAGGTGGGTGGGTGTGGAAATGATTGCAGGAATTCAAGGCAGGTTATTAGCAAGAAAATGTCAAAGCACCTCACTTTTTAATAGACAAACAGATATGGCCACAGCAGCCTTTCCCCTTTTTTCTCAAATGTGCTCCTCTTTTATTAGAGATACTTGGCAGGGTTCATGGGTGACATAATAAATATGTATTTGGGGTCAAATCCTGGCAAAATTCCATTTTCTTCAATAGGGCCAATATTTCACCCTGGATATTTTTCTGCTTACGTGGTGCTAACAGATCATTGCACCAATTGCCCTGCTCAGGCCTTCAGTCTGAACTGGTGAACATCCTCCTTATTGACTAATGACAGCCTGTGACAGACATCTACTTGATATCAAAACTATTCACAATGGCTGATTCCAAGAATATTGCTGAAGTATCTCAATCACTCAGTCATTCCATGATCACTGGTGTTCTCTTTTTTAGTTACAATGTGGCCTGATTCAAGCACAGACCCATTGAAGTTACGTATACTCTTTATTATTTCCTTGACATTATATGTAACAGTTCAGCGTAATATGGAAACCAAAGATGGATTTTTATTTATTTATTTATTTTTACACAAAGTCCAAAGAACAAGGAAATAAAATATGTTTTTAAATTACTTTAAGAAAACAATAGCTTTATATGCAGAATAAACCAAACCTGGAAAACAAACTAATATTAAATATACTAAAATGCAATCCACCCCTTAAAAAATGCTAAATACTTCTGGGGAAGAATAGCTTCCCTTCTGGTGACATTCCTACCTACACCAATTTCTGGGTATCTCAAGTTTACCAATCCTCCCAGTAGGGACTTTTCTTCACATACTTTTTTGTAGGTGAATGCTCCTCCTCCTCCTTGTGGTTTGCCAGGTTTCATGGTTTGCTGGAATTCTACCCACTTCTGTAGGCTACAAACTCCACAGCAGTAGGACTCAAGTCCAGTCCCTTTATGTGCTTCAAAATCAACCTGAGCTCCCTAAAAAAAAATCTTGATGCCAAATGACTCTCAGAGGATCCTAATTTCTACTGAATCAGCCTATTAAGAAACCTCCAATCTAGAGGCCTAAAATTCTTTTCTCTTGTTACTTCAGCAACCCCTTGCTGAACCAGTCAGAATGCCCCAGGGCTGTAATACTACCACTGAGCCACATCTTTCCTGCTCTGCTTTAAATCCTGAGAAATACCAACTGCTGCTAAAAACTACAAATATATTTCACACACGGTACACAAAGGGAAGTACTTGCAGACCCAATTCAAAGACCACAGAATCCATCAATGGACAATGGGATCACATCTTTACTGAACGTTAAAGGCCTTTACACCCCTACAATGAGAACCAAGGGTGACCCACTCATGAAAAGCCCCATTGACTTCAGTGACGATCCATCCACACAGTTCTCATTGTAGGACCAGGGCCAAAGTTGGCAACTTACTTTATTTAAAGTAGTGCAGCTCCTTGGTTCAAAATGTAGATTAGTTTTCTTGGGCATATTCATTGCATTTGTTTTTTACTGACATTGCTGTTATATCTTTTTAATATCAGAGGGGTAGCTGAGTTATCCACAAAAACAACGAGGAGTCCAGTGGCACCTTAAAGACTAACAGATTTATTTGGGCATAAGCTTTTGTGGGTAAAAAAACCCTACATCTGAAGAAGTGAGGTTTTTTACCCACAAAAGCTTATGCCCAAATAAATCTGTTAGTCTTTAAGGGCCACTGCACTCCTTGTTGTTTTTGTCTTTTTAATATATTTTTAAATGTTAAATTAAGTGCCCACATAAACAGTTTACTTAGAATGCTTTGTAGTGGGGCAGTAATAAAGAAATCATTCAATAGATCATATGAACTTTTAAAGATCTTTGGCCACTTAACCTGTACTTTTAAAAGTACCTAATTACCACATTTGTAGAACAGATTGCAGCTCACCAGGTGGAAATCAATCCTTATTTTTAAAAGTGCCCAAATAAAGATTTAGATAAGCGCCACCGATAAAAGTCCATTTGAACTGTATGTCCTTCACAGGCCAGACTAATAATTTTAACTTGTCAGCTCACTTACATGATAAGGAGTTTTCTTCTTGTTAATGTTTTTGAAACTACCATTTAAAATGAAATGTGTCTCTCTACTAGCATAAGCAACAGCCATGTGTTATCAATACGTAAAGGTCTGAAACTAAAGTTTGCTCTTGGTTGCTGGGTGCAGCTATTGCTTTAATATCCTACTTCTTGGCAACAGTGAATTATTTATTTATTTTTTAAGAAAATGCTTTTTTTTTTAATTGAAAAGAAAATTCACATCATTTTAAATGGTTGTCAAATTTTAGGCCTAAATTATGTGACTGTACAACCCCTGCTGGGCCCTTTGGAATAAAATATATTTTCACTGAATGAGCAAAGAGAATGTTTCTGTATTTTTTAAAAATCATCTTCAAATAGACTGATACTATGAATAAAAACGACAAGAAAATAAATTATATTTCAGAATATATTAACATATAAAATATAATTCCATACCATGATGTGAATGTGAAATGTTACACTTCTATTAAAAACAGATTCTATAAACATTAAATGGAGTGTGTATATCGGACTTTACTTCCAGTTAGAAATCTGTACAAAGTACCTATGCATAGCACATATGAGGAATTACAACAAACCCTGTTTTACATTTCAAAGCTTGAAATGCAGCATTTGCATGTTTGCATATCTGAAATGGTACATTATATTGCCCCTTCCAGGTCTTGTTCAAGAAATCTTTAATTAGATTTCATGGACAACGTGCAAAAGAATACAATTTTATTTGATGAGGAACAATTCATTTAGGTCTTGTTTTGGTCAATTATACTATTTTTTGCCTTAATTTGAAGAAAGCAATCTTTGGATTTAACATAAGTGAAGCAGTACCATAGCATTGTGCTTTTACTGAGAAAATAGGCAGAAGGACCAATCATTATCCTATTGAAATCTGAGTCTTTAGACTGTCCCAGTCAGCAGTAACCTAGTGCATGTCACTGTTACACAGGAGACACAGGTTCACATTTTTCCCTCTCTCTATGATGCAGAAGTTGGGTCTGCTTCGGAAACACTCATCCCCACTCTCTGAAAAAGCAGGGGTTAGGACTCAGATAAGCACATAGAAGACCATCCCTCATGTCTTCAGAAGTGAGAGAAGATAGATCTTTGCCATAGTTATGTCACCTCCTTGGTTCTGATGGCTAGGACTTGTGTTCTCTGGCCAATGGGGAAATGAAAATGAGTTTGGAGGCACTGCAGTAATCAGCAATTTTTCTTTTTAGTATTCTAGAAAGTAAAAAATGTTTGCAGTATAAATTATATCATAGCTCCAGCGTCCCACCTTGCCCTTGTCTGCCAAAGAAAGAGCAAACACTGCTTGAATATTCTACACATTCTCTGTGTACAGAATTCTTTTTAGTCTTGCTCTCTTTTTCTGAGCTTGTACAAGTGTATGGAAAACAAGTTAGATTTGTACATAGTACAATTCAAAGAGGATTTCATGGTTACCAGCAGTGATGACACAGGATTTGACATTTTGAGTATGAGTCAGTATAGAGAATTAATGCCCCAAAATAGCTAAATAAATGTCTTTGCAAAGAGACACCATGGCTTCTTCCGCTTGTTTGTGCATTTTCTTGTCATCACCATTTAATTTACCATCTGTACCACCACAGATCAATTTGACATGGCTTATAAACATATCTGGTTCCTGTGCTCCAAGCCAAATGTCCCCAATGTAAACAGAAGCCAGGAATACACAAGAAGCTGTGAAACAAAAGTGAAGAAAAAAGGAATCAGTATACTCTTCAGTTTCAAAACAGTAACATGGAAAAATCTATTTTACCAAAATTTCCCTTTCAAAGCTGTTTTTTTAAGCTAGAGTTTGCTAATCCTTTGCTTTAATGGACAATCTAATTTTTTGTGCTCATCTCGGACCATCCACTCCCCACCTCTAATAGAAAATACCCTCTTTTTAGTGGAAACCTCCATCTTTGAATATAGCTAATTATACCATTAGCAACCACTTTTGTCAACAAATGGACAGAGCTGGTGTCATGCAAACCAGAACCTGTAATGTGACTTTTGGTGCAAGAATATTTTCCCCATACAACTTCAGATATCCATGTATATAATTAAGCAAGCCAAATTTAATCCAAGACAACAGCTTCTTTTGGGGAGCAGGACTAATGTTATATCAAATATTCTTTTGAGGTGAAGACCATATTCTATATTAATTAATGACCAATAGGCTATCTTCTTGGGAAGGACATAACTTTCTGAAGTGATGATCCTCCATCTTAGCAAAGACAGATTTCAAAAACATTTGATGAATGAAAAATATTTAACTACACAACTACTGTCATCTACTCCTCTGCCTTGTTACTGAGCGTAAACAAAAAAAGGACAAGTTACCTTTCTTGATTTCATCCTTTTCTTTCATTGCTGACAGGCAGAACGTTTTCACCACCTTATGACAACTGGCGTTAGTCAACCCCTGAGCATCCAGAAAGTGAAGCATGATTGTATTAAACAAACAGAGCTCTTCAATGTTTGATGACTTCTCTTCGTTGGCTTCACAGATTCTGTTGTAAAGCTTAAACACACTACTTTTCAGTGTGGCATCCCTAAGAATCTCCCGCACTACCGGAGGGTGTGGCAAAATGCTACTGTTTAGCCACTTGAGAGTCAAAAATACATTTTGTATATTGAGGCTATGATCAACCATGGACTTCACTAGCCATTTGGTTACTATGTAAGCAGTTGCACATGTAAGACTGATAGTTTCATTCTCTGGATCAGTAGATTCAAGCTGTTCCTCTGGAAGTTTAGCAAACGGGGCTGGATAAACAGGCTCCCAATGAACCAATATGGACTCCAGATGGTCTCTGCATTTCTCTAAGTTTGAGACCTTCAGCTCTGAGTCCGTTTCTTCTTCTCTTTCTACCACATCCTTTTTCCGAACATGGCGAGATGAAGGCCGAAATGGGACTTGACCTTTGTTCTTTTCTTTAATATTTTCTGTAAATGGGAAAAATAAAAAACATTTCAAGCCCTTCAAAAACTCTCGTCACTACAAAGCAATAATACAGGGAGGATGGCCTTGTGTAATTACAGCTGCTGGGAGGTTGCAAGGTACATGCTTCTGGCCTGATTTAAAAAAAAAAAAAGTAGTATTTGTGTGCTTAAAAAGTTAAGTTACATGCTTAGGTACCCTGTTGAATTAAAGCTTCTAACTGCAAAGGGTGCAATTACTTCACTAGGACCCTGATCCAAAGCTCAATGAAGCCAATGGGTGTCTTTCCATTGACTTCAGTGGGCCCCACATCCACAGGATGTAGTTTGTCACTGATCTTGTGAAGGCTTAGACTTTTATGTAAGGTTATGTGAAACTTTCAGTTCAATTCATTGCTAGTCATATTATCAAAGCAGTAAGGCTTGTAAACAGCAGCAATGCATTTATTCTACTGCATCAGTACTGAATGGGGCATTGTCAGAGATGCTAGTTCTGAAAAATCTGGAAAGTCATCAGAAATCTCAATTATTTTGCAATAAATGCAATGGATTTAAACCAGTTTCGATTACTAAAAAAAATTAATATCAACCCCAGCAGGTGATTTTAACAGCAACATTTCATGTCAAAGGGAATTTTTGTGACTGTCTTATAAACTGCTGAAGGCTGGAGAATGAAACTGGACACAATAATTGATTGTTAACTATAGAAATGGTAACAAATGCAAACATAATTCACTAAACTAAAATTATATATATATATTAAAAATATGGCACAGGTAAATATACAGAATCCCTAGAAATACCTAAAAAAATATTTTTGACATCTTTTAAAATTTGGTGGGCTTTTAATATATATATACTTTGTTAAGTGACAACATATTCTGTAAAAACTACAGTATCACTGATCCCGGTGCACTGGATTAAAAAAATATACCCCTCTTCTTCCCCTCCTCCCGATATCCTTATATATTATTGAAATGGAAAGAGCGGTAAAAAGTCGAATTTGCTTTTCACTCATTGTGCTGTTCCTTTACTTTTTGTATTTCTCTCAGCATGACAATGAAAATAGACTAGTCAATTTCATTTTTGATTTATACCCAGTTTCAAATCAATTTCATTTTTAGGTTCTCAAGCACTCTCAGAACACTGCAAGGCTTTGGCTGCAAACGCTGTAGACCACTGTATGTTTGTTTAGAACACTATTCCGACTGGCATTTTGTTTTCTTTTTAAATCATAACAATATTTTTATATAATCTTCAGTTTTGTTAAAACTTATTTTTACAAAATGTACATTTTGGAAAATGTTTAACTCTGCAGTGTCCTTTAAAAACATGGAAAGAAATGCATATTAACCTATACATAAAGTGTTGTTTTCTATTTTTATTAAAATAATTCCTTAATGTCCTGCTATGAAAGCAAAAAGGTGAAAAACTGAAATCCACTCTGAAGATTCTTAAAAAAAAAATTAATTTAATACCAATATAAAAATAA